TTTCCGCGTATTAATTTAATTAAACTTTTCTAATACGTGGTCCCTCTTAAAATATTAGCCTTTTTTCCAAGGTAGGTCATAAGCTATCTCTGTGCGAAATTTCATGTAAATCTGTTCAGTCGTTTCCGGAAATTGGATTAATTCATCTTTTTTAACAGGTGGCAACTCCTCCATAAAAATAGCCTATTTTCCACTGCAGGTCATAAGCTATCTGCTTGCGAAATTTCATGCAAATCCGTTCAGACGTTTCCGCGTATTAATTTAATTAAACTTTGTTAGCAGGTGGCAACTCTTAAAAAAGTGGCCTATTTTCAAACCTAGCTCATAAGTTATTTTTGTGGAAACTTCCATGCAAATCAGTTTACTCATTTCCGCGCATTAATTAAATTAATCATTTCTAACAGGTGGAAACTCTTAAAAAAATAGCCTATTTTCCAACCTAGGTCAACTATCCGTGTGCAAAATATCATGCAAATCCGTTCAGCCGTTTCCGCGTATTAATTTAATTAAATTTTTTTAACAGGTGGCAACTCTTAAGAAAATAGCCTATTAACCAATATGGCCCATAAGCTATACGCGTACAAAATTTCATGCAAATCCGCTCAGTCGTTTCCGCGTGATGATTTCCCAAACATCCAAACATACAAACTTTCACATTTATAATATTAGTAAGAGTAAGATAAGACAAGATTAAACAAGTAAGAAAGTCTAAGTTCGGGCAGAGCCGAACATTAAATACCAGGCGCAAATATTAAATATATGTTTTTCACCTTTCCGAAAGCTACCGCTACATGGTAAGCCGGGTCGTATCAATTTTGAGTAAATTAGCGTCCTTAAATTTCGAAATATTGAAGTTTCAAGCATTTCTAAAATTTACCGTTATATGGAAAGCCGTAATTTTAGTCCGATTTCAATAATTTTGAACGTTTTGCTTTTATGTGGCAAGCACAATAACCATACCGAGTTTAGTACAAATTGGTAGAACGGTTACCGAGATACATATATGTGATCATAAGTGGGCGGTGCCACGCCCATTTTCCAAAATTTTATCATAAACGAATTTCTTGGTAAAGAATTGTTGCAAGCGTCAATTTTGAATAAATTTGCTCTAATATTTACTGATTTATCGCAGATTTCGTATTTCTCTAAATTACCCTTATATGGAATGTGGGCGTGGTTATTGTCCGATTTTAAAAATTTTCGGCCATTTGGTATGCTGTACCAAGGCCAACAACTGTGCCTTTGGAAAAAATCGGTGCAGCGGTTGCCAAGATATAAACATGTAACCATAAGTGGGCGTGGCTACGCCTATTTTTCAAAAATTTATAATCTTGTTTTTCGTCTAAAAATTATTGTAAATATCAATTTTGAGTGAATAATCTTCAGTAGTTACTAAAATATCGCAGTTTTCGTATTTCTGAAAATTACCGTTATATGGGAGGTAGGCGTGGGTATTGTCCGATTTTGCCCATTTTCAATACCATCCGTCCTACGCCCGAAAGAAGTGCACGTACCAAGTTTCGTTAAGATATCTTAATGTTTACTCGAGTTATCGTGTTCCCAGACGGACGGACTGACAGACAGTCACCGCTTAATCGATTTCTCTTTTCATCCTGATCATTTATATATACATTTGTCTATATCTATCTCGATTCGTTTTGCCTGTTACAAAAAACCGTTATGTGAACAAAGTTATAATACCCTTGTTCACAAGTGCGCTCGGGTATATAAAAATGGTTGGCAAACGAACCGTAAATCGGGAGCACATTCTGTATACTACATTCCAAATAAAGGCAAGATCTGCCATATCTGTTTGTATTTCGTATAATAATAGCATCTCAGGTTAAAAATAAAATCATCGGTTAAAATCACAACTCTGGATCAATGGACAAATCCGATTCAATGCAGAATATCCGAAAGAATACCAGTGTTCCGATTCAATGCAGAATATCCGAAAGAATACCAGTGTTCCAGTCCAGAGTGTCAACAGGGACAAGGTGTAACAATTAGACTATTCCAATTAATATATTTTAATTTTATTTATTTAACAAAAAGTTTCAAAATTTCCTATATTATTTACTACTATTTGAATACTATAAAAAACTTACAAACAAATAAAATGTATGTATCAGGGATGGGCATTTTTGAATGAATTATTGTTCAATTTATTTTTATTCACAATTTTTCTATTCATATTTGAGTGACGAATATATTTTTATTCCTTTTTCAAGTAATTTAAAAGAACGAATAAATATTCATTAATTATCATGAAATTTCAAATAAATAATAATTTTTTATTCTTCATTCAAGTAATTTCAAATAACGAATAAATTGGCATTCATCATTGAGAAATTTATAATGACGAATATATGTTTATTCTTCATTTCTAATAGGAATAAGTTTATATTCATCGTTATGTCATTCATGCCTATTACGATATCCGACGGATGCCATCCCCATGGATCTAATAGAATTCGCACTGTCATAACAAGCGAGTGAGAAGGATTAGATTCAAGAGAATGGGGTCCCTCGGAAACAGACCTATTCCGGTCCGACAGATACCATTCGCACGAATCTAATCCTTCGCTCTCGCTTATTCCGACAGTGTGAATCTGCTTTGATCCGTGCGGATGGCATTCGTCGGATACCGTAATAGGCATAATTATGTTTAGGTCCGCGACCTAAATATATTGCACCACTCTAATACGCGTTTTGTCACTTGATGTAAGAGCACACAACACATATATAAGTTACGGCTAACTTTCCAGCTGCTAACAATAAGCCCCACTGTGCGGTAACTTAGTTGAGGGGAAACTTAACGAAAGTTACTGTGCGGGCTACATCCCTTTTGCGTTTGTTAGCACTTTTTAACTTCTTAGAAGACAGCACGTGATCTCCAGCTATTACACCACGTTCGGTAAGCCAACTCTTGTGTGCCCAATTATTCAAACTCATCAAGAATCACAAATAAAACGACCTTTAATTTCATTGCACTAAAACCACTGTGTCCTTTATTTATTCTTATTTTCGTTACATTAAAGTTACGCTGGTGCGCTCCATCTTTGTGCGACGCCACCTGCGTAAATATTGGTCCTTCGAGCTGCGTAAATACATAAAGCGAATCAATTTTTAGTCATCATTCAAGTAATTTCATATGAAAAATAAATTGTTAGCCTTCATTCAAGTAAATAATTCCGAATAATGAATGATTTTTAATTTGTTATTCAGACATTCTTTCTTGATCATGGTATCAGGTGGGCGATCAAGATGTATGTTCTGGTCTTATATATGTATGTACATATTTATTGTATATAAAAAATTAGAAAATATAATATCCATCTACATACGTATGTATGTATATACATATACAACAAGCATGTACATAAGATCAAGAAAGAATGACTGAATAATAAGTACAAAATTATTAGCTATTCAGCACTATGAATGAAAATTAATTCTTCATCTGAAATTACTGGAATGATGAATAAAAATTTATTTATTGAATGAAGAATAAATTTTTTTTATTCAAAATTACTTGAATGATGAATAAAAATGTATTCGTTACTTGAAATTGCTTGATGTTGAATAAAAATTGATTCGTTATTTGAAATTTTGTGATGATGAATGAAAGTTTATTCTTCATTCGAAATTTATTGTTGATGAATTAATATTTAGTCTTATTTTACAAAGCTTTTATCAACTTGCAATGTTGTGTGTCCAGACACCATCCATTGATATAAAACCTTTGCTTTGCAAGGTTGCTATAAAAAAGTCTAGTGCATAGGGCGGCATCTAACTCTTAACCGACGAGGTTGAGAGGTAGATGTCGCCCTATGCACTACGTGCGCTATGTATGTGCCTGTGGGTGCACCAGTCTATTAATATCGTTGAATTATTTTAATATCTATTGCAAAATTTTATGCAGACAAGACTAAAAAGTAGATATTTCTCAGTCCCATAGAATTTGTTTTGATAACTTTTGATTTTGAAATTTTAGCAAAAGTTATTATAAACCATTTATGAGATTGAAAATAAAAAGCGTGGGACGCATGCAATACAAAGCATTAGATTTAATTGACAATACCTAAAATTTCCACAGAGAAAGTACAAATTTGAGATCGATTTTAAGCGGTCGTTTTTTATATTATTTATTTTTGTATTCAATTATTCATTTTCCTATTTCGCCCATCCCTGGCAGTACGTATTATGTGGCTACTTAAAAATATTTTCCAAAAATTTTTTCTTCTGAAAAAAAATATACGAATTAAAACATGCGCAACTTAATTAACAGCAATTCAGTAGTTTATGTATGTGGTTGTATATTTGATTACATCAATGTATTCGAATTTACTTTTCAGTAAGTATGATGCATGCTCGATACTATTTTCTATTGTCATTACCAGTGTAATATCTTTTTTATTCTTTAAAATTGCAGACATTCCCATGCCATCGATATCGATCCGTTTCCGTTTTGTCAGTTTCTATTACTATATGGCTTCCTTCGTTGCAAATGCATATATACATACATATGTATGTACTGAGATACATCTTTATGACATATTTACATATGTAAGTTCATTTAAAGTATGTAAATGTTTGCATTAATACTCGCAAGAATGCATACTTGTTCATGTACAAATGGTGCAAGTAAATCTTTTACATAAAAACTAATTATACTCCTGTCTTATTATATTTACATATAAACATATTGTAAATTATGTACTTGCTTGATTCAGAATTACTAAACTTTAAATTATTTATTTTAAGTGACTTGTAGAGTCCAACTATTATAGCAACTTTTGTAAGACTTATGGCATAGAGAAAGAACAAAGCGGTAATTTTTCTTCCAGCCCTTAGCTCAGTTGTATAAATACAATTAACTAACAGTTAAGCCCTGCTAGACAATCAATAATCAATAGGTATGTATGTGCAAGTATCTTCCACGTTCGACACATTCGCGTCAGAGAAATAGAAAAAGTCTAGCAAATGAAACAAGTCAGTCAGTCCAAGCGGTTTACGAATCAGTTTAGGCGCGATTTTCATTTGGGTAGTTCGAGCTCGTTCGCGGGACCTTCTAAGTTTTTCTTTCTTTACATATGTATAAAGCAAATGCAATGCACTTTTAACGACTGGAAATTTTTTTAAGTACTTACTTCAAATATAATTTTTAAATACAATTTTACGGTAAAAAGTAACTAAATTTTATATCAAGCCTTGAATATTTCAAAATGGTGCAAATAAATGCTGGCAGTGGTGGTAAGTGGAACTTAATTGTCTGTCGTAAAAACAGATAGATATGTAAAATATTTGCGAACTCTAAAAAGCGTTCATATTTTATCAATATAATATTTTATTGAGTCGAAAAAATACAAAAAATCTAAAACAACAAGGACGAAAGTGCGATCTGTTGATCTGTAAAATTACAGTTGATGTGAGCATTACTATCTTGGCTAATAAATTGTATGTGACGGCACAATCTTTTTTTAAGTAATGCGTGTTATGTATTTAATAAACAGTGAAAACTATGAGCTATATATTTAGGAATACTAATGTTTTCAGGATTTAAGTCATCGAAATCGAGTTCCCTTGCCGAGTGGATATGTGTGACTACGAGTATTATTCTAGTGACCCTGAGCTCAATGGCAAGGCCAACTTCTGAGAACATTTATGGAACATATGGGGATATCCTTCGTAACGGGCGCGACACTCGCACGCGTTTAACAAAGATTAAAATACGAAAAAAGAGTACACAGTAGGGCTGCCAGATATCTCTGTTGCCAAACCGGGACACTTTAGGGAGGGCCTCTTAAACTTTGTGCTAAACTCGGGAAAATTCAATAAATTTTCGTAAAAATTTGCAACATTCTAATCAAACTTTTTATAAAAATTTTTAAAATGAAGTTTTCCAGCCCTTTAAATTTTAGTTGATTTTTGGTATTGTTTTTACTGAGAGTTTCTTCCATACAAACTATGTTCGATAATTCTTTTTATATTAAAGACACTGTCAGCAAAAAAAAATAAATGCTAAAAATCAACGAAATTTGCTGGCAACTTCAGACTTGCACTTTATTAATTGGCTCAAAATCTACATTTTCAAAATTTTTCTAAAAGATCTGATTAGAAATTGTGATCTGATGAAAGAGCCTCCGAGCCAATAATTTTTTACGGCACTGTACGTACTTATAAGTCTAAAAAAAATTTAAGTACAAGATAACATTAAAATATCAGTAATATTTTTCGTTGCTGTGAACTTGTTTCAAAACTTCTGTCTTTTCCTTAATATAATTCAACTATTGCTTGTGCAAAGTTCAACTATCTCGAAATGTAACTATTTCACAAATTAAACCGGTGCACTGAGAGAAAGAAACTTAGAATTAAAAAAGCGTGCTAAATTAAAAAAAAATACGCATATGAAAGAGCACCAACCCAACTCGTAATACATTTAAGTATACAAATTTTTGGTATTTAATAATAATAATAATAGATTGGCGTTTACACATAAGTTAGTGTTTGGCCGAGCTTCTCCTCTGATTTGTGGCGTGCGCCTTGATGTTGTCACACAAAGCGGAAGGACCTACAGTTTTACGCCGACTCCGAACGGCGATTGTATTTTTATGATAAGCTGTTTTTCATGGCAGAAATACCTTTTTTCTATATTTTTTTGCGATGTTGCTTTGACCAGGGTTTGAACCCAGGCGTTGGGGAGTGGAAGCGCGCACTGCTTACCACTACACCACAGCGGCCGACCAGTATTTAGTATAGAAATATTCAATTCAAATACGCCCATATTAAATTGAAGCGATTTGCAATTACCGATTGCCTTTTAATAATTAATTTAAAAAAATGCTGGTTGTAATGGGAATTGAACCTTGACCCTCTGGAAATTAGCAAATTGTGGCAAGCATCTTCGCGCACTCAGCTACAGCATTGTAAATGTGCATTTAAATGTTAAGTTTGAATCAACACCGCGCGTGCGTGTTATTAAACTATTATTTTTAAATACGAACATTTTTAAACTGCATACTTTGACAGATCATATCTCCGAAAAAAAAATTCCTCGAACACGTGTTAGCTCATTTCATCTATAGAACCCACAGAAAAAATTTTATGCGAATCGGAGACATGAAATAATTTTTTTTACGAAATCCGTCCGACTTAAAAAAGAATGGCTCATATGTAAGAGAGCAGTTTTCTTAAAAATAATAAAAATAATGCCACTGAAACAAACTTCAGCGATAGTTTAAAGGTGAGACCCTCAATGGCTAGAGGCGTCACCTGTGTGTAATTTTTCATACATACAGTGGTGGAAAAATAAATAAGGACACGACATTTTAACAAATTTTTCCTATTTGTCATTTGTTTATTTAATATTTATTATTTTTTTATAAAAGTATATCTAACAAAAAAACATATAAATTCATATTTCAAACTTTGTGCAAAAATTATAAAAATTCTTCAAACTTGCACTAACTATCAAACTATCTGTCTGCTGTTGGCCCATAATATACTCGGGAAAGGTATGGGAAAAGGTGATAAAGTTTTGTCAAAATATGTTGCCAAAATTTGTTGTGAAAATATGACATAGCGAAAACCAGTCTAAAGCTGCATTTGCGTGACTCGATTTTCCAGGCGATACATTTCCACAGGAAACAAAAGTTGAACGAGTGCAATGAATTTTCTGTGTTTAAATTCTGATATTATTTACGGCGACTTCGATTCTTCCAAAAAATGTTGTTCATTCACAGTGCAAAATGTGTTTGATGTTACACTCAAACCTGTAAACGGATATGTCTTTACCTTCTTCTCCTTGTCCAGCTCACGCATTTCATAATATCAGGGTTCGGAAATTCTCACTCACATTCTCTCACCTTCGCGTTCGATAATATTCCAAATGAATTTTTGCATTCTTTTATCGCGAGTGAAAAATGCAAACAAATTTATCATCTCTCACATTCGGAATGCGATCGACAAAAAAATTGCCGCTGCTTTTCATTCGCGATCGAAAAAAGCAAAGAAATTTCCTCTCACTCGAATATGAGAAGCCCGAGCATAGTCGATTTCGGCCTCTCATAAATGAGAAAAACGATGCAAATAAATTATTATACGTGGGCACGATTGAGAGAAATAGAGATTGCGCCCACGACGCAAACCTGGCGAAAAAGAGGAAGCAGTTCTACCGGCGAAGAGATGCATTAAACACCAAATTGAGCTTTGTGCTATGTGTGTGAGCTATGAGCTTCTACATGGAACCATTTTGGCCTTTCCTTGGGGAATTGTAGCAGGTACATTTCCATGGTGAATGTAGACAGTTGCTGGTTTAGTTTGCTGGCAATAGCATACATAGTCCCCTTTCAGACACGTCAGGTCTTGCTTTCAAGTCTGCTCGTTCGTTGGCGAAGGAGGTGGAAAGAGAGGGGAAGAGTACAGATACCTCCGTACCGTCAATTCGTCTCAAGTTTTCTTGTTCTCTTTTGATCTTTTCTTTGCTTCCCATTAAAGATCCAAGGACTTGAATTCAATAAAACTTGACGCGTGTGGAAGCAAAGAGAAAACACAAAAGAGAATGCGATAAAAATTGCTTTCAAGACTTGACGTGTCTGAAAGGGAACACACAAAAGCAGTTTCTACAGTAAATAGATACCTATTTATTTTTGTTAGTACCTGTTTCTTTTTAGTGCTGGTATGAGGTAATGCACCAGTGGATAAGGTCGCCAGGCGCTAACTCAAGCGGCATCTTACCGCGCTGTTACGTACCTAATACTAAACAGTGCCCAAATCATTATACATTTAAAAGTTCAGCTTAAATGATGTTTTACTTACATAGAGTATTTATTTCCAAAGAAGCCACACTCATGCATCCTCTCGGAAATGGGAAAAAAGTCATCAAATAAAAGCTGGGGAGTCAACAGCTGTGGAGTTTATGGTGGTTGGCTACCGTCCACAAATACAAATATGCACTCTGCATGGCTTTTTACAATGGCGAGTCCAAAAATTCACTTTACTGCACACCTTCCTTTTGGTCTACATGAAATTGCAAACACTGTTAATATATCCATTTTTTCATGAGCTAAAAATCGTAGTTACCTAAAGGGCTGCATGTCCAAAATTATTGCAAAATTTGCTTCCTGCAAAATTGGGCCATGTAATATTAAAATTAACACATTTTTCTGCATTGTTTACATATTTTTATATGCGTTTTGGCATTTCTCTTTCACAATAGCACCAAGATGACGTCACGCAAAAATTACGCTCTCTCATTGGCGCAATCTTGTATTCTATCCGGAGTGTCCACATGTGGCGATTTCGGGCCAATTTGGCGATTTTTTTTGGATATTTGCGCGTAGAAATTAAGGAAATCGCCATTGGAGATTTTTGGCGATTTTTTCACTTCAAATAAATTTATTCCAACTATAAAAATATACAAAACATGGTTTTCCACGATAATTTTAGCGAAGAGGCTAATGAACTGCGTGATAAACTTGACTTAAGAAGCATATTAAAAGACTGTTTAATCACCCTAATCGAAGAACTTTTGAAACGAGTACCTAATCAATTAAATACTTTTAAAAAAGCTTTGATTTTATCACCAGAAAAGTGTGTGAATCACAAGAGGGCGAGTTTCAGGGACATGCCAATTCACTATTTGACTTTGAAGGAAAGAAAAGCAGCGGAAACTGAATATTTACATCTTTTAACTTTCCCATAGAATAACTTCTTTCAGAACCATTCCATCCGTCTCTGAATAATTTTGGATAATTGCTTACGGAGTGAAAACCGCAACAGGCAATAAAATGTTTGGAAATATAAGTAAATTCATATTATTATCCTTGCCGCACTCACATGCTTTGTTGAGCGCGTTTTTTCCGTAATGAATTCAACAAAAACTAAGATTCGAAATAGGATGAGGTTGGAAAGCCTTAATTCAATAGTTCGAATAAAGTGTCATATGAAGGCTAATAGTTTCTGCTGTAAAACGTTTCCAATATCAAACAGTATGTTATCAAGGTTGAATAGCTCAATATATGGCAACAGAAATGTATGTAAATCATTCAGACACTGTAGGTGATTTTTAAGAAATTGTGGAAATAGCAGATCTCGCCTTATTATAGGTTTTTATTTAATGTTTAGCGCCGTGCTCTTAAAAGCGGATTGTGCGATTAATCAATCAATATGAGTTATAATAAATTTAATAATTGCGCAGTCCTATTGCAAAATGTGTTGAAACCAATATTTTTAAAAAGTATGCGTATTGTTTG